ATAAAAACATTTAGATTAAAAACAACAAAATTTAGAATACATCAATTACACGAATATCCAAAAGTTTTATAAAACGAAAAAAAAAATTAACTGACCCCACATAAATAAAAAAAAACCGTTTTTATAATTAAGATTAATAATACTTATTATTAGGAAGATAAAACAATATACTTTATGTCAATAACAAAAATGAAAATGAAAAAAAATATGTTTAGTTTTAAATGAAAGAAACATAAATGAAAATTCAGATCAGGGAGGACATTCAAACTAAACTGCTCATTATATGGAGAAAATTTTAACTATAAATTATATCAAGTTTCTACTGCTGTCAGAAATAAAGTACTATTTAATGCATATTCAGTACTCAGCATTAACAAAACTCATTTTGGGGATCAATTTTTTAAAAATTGGTTATTCAACTATCAGATGGATTAAAATCAAAAATACATAAATTTCTAATCTTTATTTTCTATATGAAAATACTTAAGTTTGTTTATTGTACAACCCTATAGCCAGAGACTAGGTGTTTGATGTTTTTTTTCTGTTTAAGTATTTGTATAAATATTTTTCTGAATTGGAACATTCACTTGCGATTAAACCTTTTTGTTTACTTTGAAAATTTCTCAATAAAACAATATTTTGATGACAATGGATTCTTTTTATTTTTATTTTCGCAAAAAAATTATTTTCAAGAGAGAAAAAAGAAACATTATTTTATAAATTTTGATACACTGATTTTGAGTAGAAAAAAATATACTGCTAACTAAATAATCAAAATCAAAATTTCATTAAATAACTAACAGAATAAATACACCGAATGCTGTCTATTATGCAACCCATTTTCCTATTTACTATGCGAGGAATAGGAATATGGCAGTGTTGACAATAGAAATAGCATGAGCTCTGGCATGGTGTTAGATAACAAGTCAAAATATTTTGGTGATTTATCTTGCAAAATATTCCTGAGTAGACACTGTTACTCAGAAAAAATCATATAAAATTAGATAAATAAAAGGCCTAACTTCAATTTTGAAAATTTATACCATTCTTATTCTATAAACAATGAAATCTTTAAAAAGGCACTAAGGGATTAAATTTAAATTAAATTTAAAATACGACTTTTTGATGTTGAATACAAAACATGTTATTGACCTTTGAAATATTCAGTTAACCTTAATATTTCAACAATAGTTAATATAATCATTTTCCTAGTCACTAATATAAATTAACAAATTATTAAGTACATAATAAACAATGAATGTAGAAGGTTTATTTATTATTATTTTGGAAGAAACATTTCAATATACATATAAATATATTATTACAAATAGATATATATATATATACTTTTTTTCTGAAACTACCTGTACAATTGTTCAATTTTTTTTACTTTTGTTTTCAAATATTTGATGAGGTGTATGCAAAATATATACGAGAAAGTAGTGGCAACCACCAGTCCTAACAGACTAAATGAGTTAACAAAAATGACTAGAAGAGACATTCCTTGTAACTTCCTTTACTGTTTTCTGTAACAGACAAACATACAATCTAAGTTTTGAAAAATACAACACCAGATTATAAATTAATTTTACAAAAACTAATAATGTTAATGAGGATAACGGGAAAGAGGCTTTATGAGAAGTACAGTTTGTAATTTAGGCCTCTGTAGTCTCAATTATAAAATCATCCAAATTTCCACTAATTTAGGCTTCTTCAGGAAAAGAGTATAAATTTAAAACCTTTTAGTAATGTTCATTTGTCTATAGCGGTTCGCAGCCTTACATATTTAGTCCAGTACTACTCATAAGACATCATCCTCCTAACCTTTAAAAAAGTAGTAATTGTAAAAGGTTGTTTGGTGATTTGTCTTTTGTAGTTTTTGAGTCCGTACTGTATTAAGTTTCCGCATATGGTGGATTCTTTTCCCTCTATATTAGCTTTATGGCCACATCTGCAGTTTAACTTTTAGGTTGCTCTGTAATTGTTACTTTATAATGTGCTTATTATTTAAAATTCTGTTATAAGGCTTAATCAAGAGTGACTTTATAAACAGTTGAACATTTTTAGGTTCAGATAGACTTAGGTGAGAGACTATTTATTAACAATGAACAAGTTATATATTAATGCTCATTTGGATAACCTGAGCAGCCGGTAATTTCCTCATGGATGTTATCTTATTTGCATTAAGTTCACGGTCAAGACTCTATATACTAACATCCTTTCGTCAGCTGGTCTCCAGTTCGAATCCAAAGACATATACATATTTTTTTTCCAGAGACTGTTAAATCAAGATTTGGGACAAATAAAGACTTACTGCCATCATCAAGGCCTGATGATGGGTATGATTAAGCTTACACACATCTAAAACTTGTCAGAGATCTTGTGACCAGCATACTAATAGTGCTCTTTGTGGCAAAGACTATCCTGTAAGCTACAAAGGATGCATAGTTTACAAAAATCACTATAGGCTAAGATATTCAGAATATAGCCTTAAAAAGCGTAAACCAAAATCAAAAAATTTTTACCCAGCCACCAGAAATTGAATATATTTCAAATTTCCCTCAATTGCCAAAAACAATTACCCATTTCATCCAATAAGAGCCACCTACATCAACAGACATTGTTCATCCTCATTTGAATTCCAGAAAATCTTACTCCGAAACCACCATCAAGAAGCACCAATCTTGACATCAGACACCTCAGACATCACGCTTCCAATCCTCAATCACACATTCAACAGTTATCAGTAACACCAATACTACCAACCCGGAAGATTTCTAAGTGCCACCAGTCATCAACAGAGGTTCTGGTTAAATCTAAAGCTAAGTAAAAAAATCTCAAGCTGTATACAGTTTCATCTAACAAAATGTAGGATACAATTTTGTTGATGGTACCCATGATTAATTAAAAGGGTACTAAATAATTAATACTAAATTCTCTATAAACCAGAAAAAAAAATCATCAAAATCAATTAGAAATATTTCACATTTTGAAATAATTAATACTAACAAAAGGAGCAAAGTGGGATCAAATATTTTTTTAAGGAGAAATACAGTTGAGATTATGGGCCTCAAAGAACCCTCAAATACAATTTTTCATAGCAATTCATAGCTCTTTGAAAACAAAAATGGATACTGCAGAACCTACTTTTACGTACACTTTCAATAAGGCGCATTAAATCATCTCCAGTCATATACAGTTTCATTTAACAAAATGTAGGATAACAACATCCAACAACAAATGGTAAATCCATATGCCCCTTCAACTCAATCCACAAAATCCCCCACATGGTATATGACAGCCACATAAAGTGCTGTGAGGAACGTGTTGTTTTTGACGAGTTTGTCTTCGAAATAGGATCCGCCCATATCCATTCTCAAAAAAGTGCACAAAACATCTTAGACATAATCAATGTTACAAGCGCTTATTGGCGTACCGAAGCATGAAAACCCATGTAACACAATCTCCCATGTGGAAAAGACAGTAAGTGCTATGGGAATATATCAGATTTTTACTTGTCATTTTAGACATGTTTGTCTTCAAAACAGGATCTTCTTCAGCACCTGAAGTATAACTAGTATCCGAATCTATTCCTATCACAGAAGATGAGGATTGGAAAGTTTCTGATGATCATCCTATATCTGTTTTCGAAAAAGTGAACAAAACATCAAAGAGAAAACCAATGTTACAAGCGTTCATTGGCATACTAAAAAGCATAAAGACCAAGGAAATCTGTGGAAGGTTTCTAAATCACCTTTGATAGTAACCAATAGCACCAGTACTGCCGACCCAAGAGATTTTGTTAAAAACAATAATATTTATTATTTGTAATCGACCCAGGCAGACTCTATTTGCATAGCTCTATTCCCTTACTATATATTACATATATATAGGTAAGTGAAAGTAAAAATATATCTTTACTCACCTTTTACAGACATAACTTAACTAAAATTGAGAATGTTATTTGTCCTTTTCTACTAATATTTGCAGATTCATATAGTCATTATTTTAGAACAAAATATGCAATAAAGAAATAAATTAATCATAAGCAAAATTTTCCAATGATTAATTTCACAAATATTTATCGTTTTTTCAATGCAATAAAATATAATTAGACTTACAGTTTTAAAAGCCAAGGTAACCAGCAATTGTAGAGGCAACGATGAGGGCAAGTATCGAAAGACATATAAGGATCATAATCTTCTTCTGCTCATACATAAACAAAATGCAATTAACATAAATCAAAAAATGTTATAGAAACAATAACAGTAGTAATATTCCATTTTAATACCCTTAAGCTATACTTTTATATGCCAAAAATAATAACAAAATATGTTAAACAAAAAATAATTGCCATAACAAATGAACAGAAAATTTATTAAAGAAAATATTAAATTTTTAAACTACAAAGAATACTTAAAAATTAAATTCTAATAAAAAATAAGAAATTTCTACAACTCAAATAGAAAGGTATTTCCTTCGGCCTCTCCTCCTCCTTATAGCTTAACAAAAAAAAAAAAAAAACTATAATAAAGAAAATAAAATTAATATAAATAGGAGCATTATTCTGTTCCTCTATTTATTTAATTTTCTTAGTTTGAAACAGGCCACAAAAGTGACTATGAAAACTTGCAGGTAATTTATTAAAATCATGACTAAAATATGAAATAATTTTTATTTTTAGTTCATATGGTGCATTGGGTTTCTCGAAATCATATTAATTTATTCAATATTTATACATTATATTTAATTTTGCCGCTTTTAGAATTCATTTTATTTATTAAGTGAAAGTAAACTTCTTTTATTTTCTATTAATTAAACTTCTTTTTTTTTATATATATTTCTGAGTTACTACGTTATCATCAGAGAATGTTATATTATCATTACACATTGCCACCATGCAATCCTTACACATAAAAACGCTGCAAAAAAGAAGTATAAATGAAAAATATAACAAGACTACTTTAGCTTGATAAATAATTAAATTAATAATCGGCTGAGAATATTCCTCAAAAATAAAAATAATATAGAAGCTAATTTTATTAATTTTGTAACAAATTAAGAGAGACAAGGATTTGTAAACTATTTCATGAATATAAAATACTTAACAATGTATTTTTTCTTAAAAAATGTTTATTTTAAGCAATTGAATCTCAAGGCACCCTGTACAAATTAAGTGCATTAAAAGTGGAATGAGAACAGTTCCATGAAATCATAGTTAGTGACTAGGCTCAGAGAAACCACTGTTGCACTATTTGCTCATGGTTTCAAAGTTACTATACTTGAATTAATATTTTATCCACAGTTACTTCTCCTTTAAAGCTTTAAAAGGTTACCAGTAGCATTAATTGATTTATTGAAAATAATTAACTAAAAGAGCAGATACTATTTGGTAACCATCCAAAAAAAAGTGTTATGTATTAATACAATAATGCTTTGTTCGATATCTCCAACGAGGTCACAATATGTGACAAACATTTAATCAATTATTTTCTTCTTTTAAATTACAATATTAATGGGAAACAACAAAATACTGTAAAATATTTAAACTAATTTAACAATATCAATAACAATAGTTGTTTACTGAATAAATACATATATTTATAAAGATCTTTATTAAATGGACTTGGACTTTAATAAATACATCTTAAAAAAGTCTAAAACTAAAAGTTTATACAAAGCAAGCTCTTAGAACAATGTGTTTATTAATGATACCTTAAAACTAAAAATCTATCAGTGCATGCCTAAGAGCTCACTATATGATAATAATAAAGTTTGTATATACATCCATATAATTTACATAATATAAGTTATACACAGGGCAAACTTTGACAATATTATACAAAATATCAATATATATCTTTTTATAATAATGGCAGTAACTTTGGTATTTAATGCTGCCGAGCACCTTCTTAATCCAACATATTTTAAGGTAGAAACAACAGTAATTTAAAAAAAAAAGAAGAAAAAATCTATTTGATGCTAATTTAAGGGGAGATGTAATTTATATAGACTATGCACTTTTTCTAATAATAAAGATTCCAAGAAATTATGGACTTCTGAACGACCATATTTTAATTTTATTAATATTTATAAATACCATAGAACTTCATAAAAATGCTTACACACATATATATATACACACATATATATACATAGTGCTGCAATTTTTATCAAATGGAAATAATTTAACCTTACAGGTATTCCTTACTATAACAGTTCTGCAATTGACAATACTTTCAGTAGAGAAATATTTGTGGATACTTATACTCTCATAACCTAAATTACTTAAATTATAAATAGATAACCATAGAACAAAGATATGTTCTTTGAAGACCTTAAAACACTATTTTATTGTCTCTGCCAAATCTTGAAAGGGTAAATAGCAATACTTTTTTCTAAACCCTATTGGTACGATACAATTCTAAAAGATTGTAGCAAATAATTTATTTTTTGTTAGATAAGTTGTGATATTACTTCCTCATATAGTCATCAAATTGGTCTCAATCGATCACTTGCTATTTCGCTTCCAACTTTGTGAGTATATAATCGACATATAAACATATACGGAGCTTTGCGATTTTTTACTCTACAGGCTTAATATCTTCTTGTGTTCATAATATAAACACAAAAAGCAAAATGGTTAATATCAATAAAAATACTATCAGGCAGATGATGATGTAAATTTTTTTCTGTGAACAGAAATAAAAGAAACCATATATTAGAAACTGATAAAAGATTCAAAACATATTTTAAATAATGTACAATTTAACTAATAAGGTATTTCTATCAGATGTGCAGTTGGTTAAACATATATTTTTGACTAAAACCCATACTTACTATTAAGAAGCAACTTCCACTTTTTCATTATATCACAACCAGATGGAACACAAATTAAAATTCAATAAATAATTATTCTTACAGACAACAATTCAAAATGGGAAATGTAATCCAAAGTAAAATCCAGAAATTTATTTGCTTACAAGTTCTCAGCATTTATAAAAAGACAATTAAAAAGCAACTCCATTGGAATAATAGAAAAAAACAGGAAAATTGATTTGATTAAAAAATAGATTAAGATGGCAATCATTCAAAATTATCTTGAAAAAAATATTTTTAATGTGATTCAACTAAATATTTATATTTTATTTATAGAGATACAATTTATACATATTTAATGTTTTACTCAATCATAAATCCAAATCACATCTTAAATTTCGTCTCAACCACACTAATTAAATATCTGTTTCCAGCAAATATATTACTTCTCCTCTGACTTATGCAAACAGATAAATGGAGATTTTTTTTTTTTTTTAATATTTCTAATTTATAGTTCTATTTATGTATGGTTCAAAATACATAGGTACATCATAACATCAATGTTCTAGAATTTCATCCCATCTTCAGGATCAATCTTAATGTGATATATTTATTCATCAATCCAATGAAACATCACATCTACTCCTAATTCATCAAAAATACATCCATAATAATAAAACAGTACTGTAAGGAGTTACTTTATTTATCAATTAAACATAGCAAATCCTTAATTTAATAGGATGATTACAAATGATGAAAAGATGAATTAGGAGCTACTGATTGGTGTCAAAAAGGTTTATGGTATTAAATAAAATTTATAATTGCTTTATTTCACTCTTACACCTCCACTCCATGCCTCAATTTATTTTAATCTTTTCGACGACGTTTCAGCCAATTTTGCCCATTTTCAAGTCGAAATATTTATTATATTATAATATCATCTATGTAATAATATGTTTTATATAATTATTGTAAACATTTTTTTCTTCTCACATTTTTCTAATTATAAATTTCATAACTTATTTATGAAAAGTCAATTTTCAAATCTTCCAATTTGTCTATATGTGCTGATAATTCTTCAACAATTTTACTGTTTTTAATAATATGGTAACTTTCCTGTTATATATTGTACATAGTTTTTACTTTCACTTACGTATATATGTAATATATAGTAAGTGTAAGTATTGCGATCGAGAAAATTTTTGAATCTGAGTTTTCGACGGATTTATATGTTTTAAGGTACCCTGAGTCGAAATGACCAAGTCCCGACAAATGGTCTGTGTGTCTGTGTGTTTGTATGTTAGCAGTCTAGCTCAAAAACGAAAAGTCCTATGAAACTGATATCACGTATTTAAGATAGGTATATGCCTTAGTTGTGACGGCAACTTTTTCCTTAAAATCGGCTAACCGGAAGTGCCACTTTATATCAACGCTGAAACACATTTTCACAGTTTTCTCAAAAACCGCTCTAACGATTTTTTTATTAAATCTTCTAAATTTTCAAGGGCATTTATAATTAATAAAATTTATAATTTCAAGGAAAATCGTTTTATTTCACACTTACACCTACCTCCACTGCATGCTTCAATTCATTTTAATTTTCTCGACGATGTTTCAGGCAACTTTTCTCATTTTTAAGTCAAAATATTTATAATATTATGATATCATCTAAGTAATATTATTTTTTATATAATTATTGTAAACATTTTTTTCTTCTCGCATTCTTCTACTAATTATAAATTTCATAACTTATTTATGAAAAGTCAATTTTCAAATCTTCCAATTTGTCTATAAGTGCTGAAAATTCTTCAACAATTTTACTGTATTTAATAATATGATAACTTTCCTCTTTTTTAGAAAAGTTTTCAACCAACCAGTTTGCAAACAATAAATAAGCTGAGCCCGGTCTCTTCACATAGGTTTTTCCTTAAGGATTTTTAATAGATCACCAGTAGCAGCATAAGGATTCAGGTAGAATGGTAATCCTGAGGGTTAACAAGCAACCAGAAGAGGGACTTAATTAGAAGAGACAATTTCAAGTGTACTGCGGGCATGATGGTATGAGAAGGAACAATGAAAGAAAGAACAGATGAAAAACAGAAGCTGGTCTTCATGGACTAGAATTAGATGCACTTACCAACTACAGAATGAATACATAAGATGACTAAAAATGATTGAGAGGAAGCATCATGGCTGAAATTACTACACACTTAGCAAGAAGGTGGATGATGAGAAAAAGAATAAACAAAAGTAAAAATTCTGATGGACAGCTTCAAAGGCACCAGATTTCACTTTTTCAGCATCAGCATGTACAGGTTTTCCTGCTGGATGGATCATAAGTTTCTTAACAAAAAAAATATATATATAAAAATAATCATAAAATTTCTCACCTAGATAGAAATTGTATCAATTCAACAACAGAGATCATTAATTCATATTCAACATGAACCAAAGTAACAAACCAACATGAACCAAAAATAAATAAAAATAAGCAAATATATTTATAGCTTAGATATTTATTAATATTTTAGCTGGTTCATGCAGCTTCTAATGTACACTCCTACTTCTGATTAACAATAAAATCTGAAGCTGTCAGTTAATATTGTTTTTATGTTGGTTTGTGTCAAATTTTTAACAAAAAAATTCCACATTATCAATTTCCAAATCCAAAGATTGTCACAGAGGTTATCAAATCTAAGTTTTTAACAATTGAGCTCCTTAAAAACTAAGTGAATTGCATTCTAAGATTAAAAATAATAATAAAGTATAAGATGCCTGAAGCTCTAATAGTCTATGCAGCCTAAATAAAAAAATGCATATATACCAGCAGCTACAAACACCATAGAAACCAAAATTGATAGTAAATCTTACAGGGAATCCATTCCTTTCTGCCCACCTCTTGGCCACACCCATTTGTTCAGAATGTACTAGCTGTTTGGATTTGCGGATTATCCAGGCCAACAACTATAAAAGTCTATTCCAACCATCATAATTCTAGAAGAGAAGAATGGTTTGGGTGATCACTCAAAAAAAGAAAAATTGTAAAAATAAATAATTATATTTATTCTTATATTTGCCGATGTTTCGGCCCAAAGTTAAGGCCTTCATCAGGGCTGGTCAAATGAAGAAGCGTCGAAAGACAAACGTATTATAGCAGCAGGACATTGAGGATTATAGTAGGAGCCTACTATAATACATTTGTCTTTCGATGCTTTTTCATTTGACCAACCCTGATAAAGGCCTGAACTTTGGACTGAAACGTCGGGAAATATAAAAATAAATATAATTAATTATTTTTCCTTTTTTTTTTTCGACTGATCACCCCAACCATTCTCTTCAATTATTCACTACAGTCAACCATCAATCCACAATCATCATAATTCTATTCTTTGAATTATGTTCACCAGGTCCACATAGGTCTTCTACATTTTTCAGTTGACTCTTTAAACTTAAATAAACAAACATCAATGTAGAACCTACTGGCAATTTAAGTTTCAGGCTTAGCATAACTTACTCAGCAAAAACCAATGCCCATAGCTTTAGTTGTAATCTAAAAACTTTGAAGAGGAATTCTACTTCATTTTTCTAATTCTTAATTTAGTAGATTTTTATTTACTTATTTTTACATATATTTACTACATTGAGGTTGTATGTGGTTTATCTATATCAAGGAAAACTTAGTAGTGTCTAAGATTTTTCAAATAATTTGTAATATATATATATATATATATATATATATATATATATATATATAAATTTTTTTTTTTGTTGGTGTAAGTTGCCTCCAGGAGGCTGACAGTCCTCATAAACCCAGGGGGAAAGGAGTTCGGGCAAGGTGGCTTTCCTTGGTGGACGGCCACCCATCCAAGTGCTAACCGCTGCTTAACTTGGTTGCCTATTGCAAGCATCTTAGCCCGCACGGTTACCACAGGCTCTTATATATATGGCCTGGGTAGCTGAGCGGACTAAGGGCTAATATATATATATATATATATATATATATATATATATATATATTATATATATATATATATATATATATATATACATACACACACTATATTATATATATACTATATATAAATAATATATATATACTAAAAGATATTTGTCTTACAATTTTTTCAAAAATAATAGAACCATTTATTTTTTCCATTATCCAAAACTGAGTTAAATTTGATGCAAGGAGACTCAATTGTTCTTATCACTATCTAAAATTTATTGTCGTAAACATAAATTTACATGAACTGTCTGGTACATATAATGAGCATTTATATACTTTCTTTCTGTATATAATAAACAAATTAAAGAAACTGGTGGGTTTTTTTTTGTTAAGCGACATACCCAAATAACTGTAATGAAATTGTCTTTTAAAATTATTTGAATTCTTTAAATCTTAATTACATTTTTAAAAAGACATTTTCATAAATAAAAAAACATTTATCATAAAAAAAAAAAAGACATTTTCATAAAACCAACTGCACTTTAAAATGGTTATGAATATAAAATAAGAATAAACAAAAATATAAATTACATAATAAATAAATGAATATATATATATACAAGGATAAGGCAATAGTATTTACACATTTTAAAATACAAACGACTATTGGACAGACAAACAATACAGTATTGAGAAGATTGGTTGACATCCATGACAAATACGGCACACTTAGGCATAACCGATTGGGAGTAACATCTATCACATGCTAGTGGGAAGGGTGAGCTACACAGTGGTGATCTAACAAACCTTCATCGTTATCAGCAGCACATAAACGCATCTCAGATTTCCAAATATTTATAAATTATTGAAAAATAAAGAAATGAAAGGAGAAAAAATTCAAAGAAAAAACAAAATAATGATAATAATAAAATAAATTATAATACAGTTTGAACTGGACAGTTTTAAAATAATAAAAAAAAGTGTACTACAGATATCAACTCGAGTTCTCTACAAGTGGTTTAATCTCATTAATTTGGAACCCTGTGTAATAAATTCAATGAACAGTAAAATTTTAACAGAAGAAAACATTTTACTTTAATTTGAAACTAAGAGACTAATAGAATATCTCGGTTTTATAAAATAATAAGGGTCAAGTTGATAAACCTTTTTTAAAAAAAATAAATTATTGCTAAATAAATATGTTTAAAGTGATATACATTTAATATTTCATCCTTTCTTCCAAATAAATTCAATAACTGGCTCAGAACCATGTTGATAAAAGTTCGAATAAACAATAAATGACTTCCACTGGATTTAGGTGATTCAAATTTAGTTTTATAAGAACACAAAAAAATATTAGTTATCAACTTCACCCACTCCAGATGTGTACTAAAGATAATGAAATGGATTGTGGGCGTCTGTTATTCTCAGTTTAAATAAGTGAAATTGATTTTTAAAAAACAACATATACAGTTTCTTTTTAATTCTCATATTGTAAAGCAAGTCCAGTCTAAACTGGATTATAATAAAATATCCTTAGTTGGATGAGGTGTTATTCCCTCTATAATAAATATTTAGCCGTATCAAATAAAAACAAACTGTTTGTTAGCGAATGATTGGTTAATGTAATAAGAAATAAGATTATACAAAGCAAAACAGATCTATTTCACTGAAATATTTTAAAAAATTATGAATATATTAAATAAATTTAGTAAGTGATTATTTTTATTTCTTAAAAAAAAGAGAAAAGATGTATATGATTAAAATAAATTGAAGAATTGAATAAAAAAATAGTTGATATAGTGGTTCATATGCTTGTTCACTACAATAAAAAAAAAACGTGTATAAAAAAAGGAAAAGTTTGTAGTGAACCCTTAGGTTTGATATGAAATGGTCATGGGTTGGAGAATGAGGACATGAAGTGCTTTTTTGTTACTAAAGGACTTCTGATCTGCATTTTTGGAGATTAATCTGCATTCAAAGGAAAATTAATATTTTTTTAAGTTAAGGAGACCCAGTGTTCAAAGAGGTAGTGTATTTACCTAGTTATATGGTTTTAAGGTCATTCCAAAGATATATTAAATGTTTCTCTTGTATACAATCGCCTTACTTGATAAACATCATAGTGTAATGAATAGAAGTTGTTTTCTTTAAAAAATTAATTAATTAAAAATTGACTGTATAAATAAAAGTTCATAATGACTGACAGTGTTGCTTATATTAAGGCTGTCTTGTATGTTCTTTCCTTTTTCTTTATTTGATGTTTAAGGTGGATTTACTGTGTTATATATGAACCTATCTGCTATATTACCTTCTACCATCTCTCAGGACACCTCTTTTAAGATAGTTCTAAAATTTTTAAGACTTACTAGCAAAATATTCATTGAGATGAGTTTTTATTTCGCTTTCAGGTTTTTGACATTCATCACAGAGAGAATTTTTCAATGAAAGAAACAAGTAATAATCAGATGAGTCAAGGCAGAAAGTCCCAATCAAACTGTAAAAGTTTCTGTCTTACAGCCAACGCATTGTGTGACATTGACCATAAGACAGAAAATCTTACAGTCTGATTGAGACCTACGTCATCCTAAATACCCTAAAGACCTGGCCTCATCTGATTATTACTTGTTTCTTTCATTAAAAAATTCTCTCCGTGATAAATGTCAAAAACCCAAAAACATAATAAAAACGCATCTCAATGAATATTTCGCTAGTAAGTCTCAACAATTTTTATAAAAAAGAGTATAAGAGGAGTCCTGAGAGATAGAAGAAGGTAACAGAGCAGAATGGTTCATATGTAACATAGTAAATAAAACTTAAACAACAAATAAACCAAAAGGAAAGACCTTAGGGGGACAGCCTAATAAAATTTAAAATAATGAAGAGAAGGATGCTTGGGGTGATCAGTCAAAATAAATAATAATATTTATTTTAAGGCTGAGTAAAATAAATATTATTTTTACAAAATATTTTAAAATTAAAATTTTTATTTTAACTGATCACGCCAACCATCCTTCTCTTCATTATTCACTACAGTCAACCATCAACCCAAAAAACTTTAAAATAAATGTTTCTGAATATAAAATCATTTACTGCATAAAAGAAAAGAAATCAAAATATTTAAAGTTTACAGTATATACATAGTATTTTTTATGTTAAAAACATTTTTTATTTTAGATGAAATTTATTACTTTCTCATAAAACATCTATATTTATTTTTTTCACCATTAATTTAGTAAATCATTTTTTATTTTATAAGCGTATGTATTATATAAAAATATATTTATAATAATTGAAGAGTTTCTCCTTTTTTAATTTTATCCTTCTTTAAACAATTCTATTCAGTAGGGACTTATAAAAGAGAAAAATATTGTAAAAATGGAACTATTGATTATTTTACACTGGTAATATTGATTATTTAACAATATGTTATTATAAAATTACATACCCACTTCTAAAAATGATATAACATATAATTTGAACTGTACTGAACATATAATTTAAGCTTTATTATGCTTTATCTTTACATTTTTAAAATTCATTTTTGTCAATAATTGGAATTACAAAATAAAAGTTATTCTTCATTCCAGTTATAAATGTTTTTATGAATATATGTAACATTTATATAATTACATCATTAGAATGACCTTAAAATTCCACGAAGAAAAAAAAATTAAAAATAATAAATGATTTACCTGCCGGGCTTTTTTCTGGTAATCTTCAGCCAATATCAGCTCTCCTTTCCCTTCTAAAACTGCATCAACTGAATTTTCTACGTTGTATTGTATAGTATCGATGAGTTCACCCTAGATTGTTGGGACAGGGTAGATAGGCACAGAGAGAGAAAGATACAAGCAAAACACCGCAAGCACACACAGACCAAGTTATTAATTATTAATGCCAGACAAAAATAAATACATATATTGTAATTAAAAAAAGAAAATAAAGAAAATACCCACATGGGTTAATGTATAACAATGAAACCATGAGAAACACAGTGTATTGTTAAATAACAGATTATAAAGAGGAGGCAGAAGGTGAATTTGAGGAAAAAGGAAATGAGAAAGAGAAAAAGAAACAAATTAAAAAAATTTAAAAAAAAGAAACATACAAATAAATGAAAAAAACAATGATATAAAAAAAAACACTTATTGTCGCTGTGGCGACTAACACTCTAACAACACACAAACGTTCGCCGTGCGTGAGTAACTCACCCGGCGAGCTTTGCTCTGATACTTCAGAGCTTTCTTTGTGTCCTGAGTTGCAGTTTGTACATAGTCGACAGCATGTTCAACGTGATACTCTATACGGTCGATCATCTCTCCCTAAGATGACGAGTGCACAAAGCAAACACATAAAGGAAGGAGGTTAGTAATATCCTATACATTAGTTCATTACACATGCCAACCATTACTTAGTATATCTGTTATCTGATAAAATTATTCACTGTGAGGTAATTAAAAAATTTTTAGAAAAATTAATTTTGGTCAATTGAAAATTTTATTGCTGTTCAAATAATAGGTCTACTTGCCAAGTAAATCATTTTTAATAAATATATCATAAAAAAGTATGTTCAATACATAAAACAATATACTAGAGTAAATAATAACAATAAATTATAGTAGGATGCAAGCAGGTGTTGATAATCCTCAGATACCATAAAAAATGAAAGAATATACTATCCATTTTAATAAAAAATAACATAAACAAATCTTTCAAATTCCTTATTAATTTTTTAAAAACAAAATTTTAAGGAGTTTAATTTTTTTAAAACTTTAAATATATATATGTATAACATTAACACAACAAAATTTTCAAATGATCAAAATACTTGATAATTGTTAAGTCTACATTTTAATTTCATATGATAGGAGACTAGAAGAAAAAAAATGCTAAAAAAAAAAAAAACAGTTAATATCATCAGTGAAAATTATTATATTAATAAAACACCAGCTAATTATTATAATGTTAATAAAATATCACTTAAAATTATTAGTATGCATCTCAAGCCTATTTCTATTTCAAGCCAACACCATGTGCACTGTTCATCTTGTTGGAATTAGTAGCATAGTAAGTCAGTTCATTTACTATCAATTTATTGTGTGACAGTCAAGAGGTTGTTGTTTATCCTAGTACAAAAAAAAAAATAAGTAGAACTTTAGGGGCTATTCTATTTTATAACAGGCGTCTCCAACCAATGGCTCATGGGACGGAATCGGCCAAACAGCGAAGGAAAAAAGAGCAAGCACCTCCAATTGAGCTCGAAAAGTTTCTTTCATTACATGGCAAAAAATACTTTAAAAAATATGAAACTTTATAAATCCTTCGAACACAATGTTACTACAACATTTATTGCAAGAGTTGTTTCTCTTTGAAAGCTCATTTCACATATGAAGTATTGCATACAGAGCAAGTTTTTTTTTTTATCGAAATTCATGGCCCGAGGGATTCAGTGAAGGTCTCAAAGCGGCCCACAGGACTTCGTGAAGATCTGAATGTGGCCCACGGGCCAAAAAAGTTCAAAGATCCCTATTATATAAGAATCATAAAGCCAATCAATTGTTTTAATTAATTGAAATCAAGTGTTTTAATTAATCTAAAATTCTATGAACTCAAGAACATACAAATGATCTTTCTATAAAAAGAAATTAACTTATTTCCAAATAAACAATATGGACAGGGTAATATTAATATGCTAATTCATTAAAATGTGGAAAGAGGAACAAGGGGGAAACAGTGAGTAAAGGTCTGGACTCATAACAACTAAGGCGAGGTTCATGCCTTACTTACTGCAGCAGAAGATTTATATCTGATACATTGCCTCCATACTATTGTACGAAACAGTATTACTTCACCAAGTACCAATTCAAAACTAAACATTGATTGTTGTAGTAAAGAATTTAATTTTTTTTTTTTTATAAATCAGAAATATTGCTATACATATGAAAGAGCAAGAACTCAGTTCTAAGATTTCAACTCAACATGTGCCTATTAACAAAAAGAGTCTTTTTGAGGCTTAAGACAGAGCACAGGGAGACAATATCACACCATAAAAGGAAATTTGTGTAAATGGGTGTTAGCTCTGCGACTATCATCTATAACTATAACAGAATAGTGGGCACATCCTTTAGATCTGGATCTGCCCTTTTTTTGCTTTTTGAATGCTGCAAGTCAGTTGCATTATTAATATCATACTTAAATTCATTTCTCCTTTTACAGTTTAAAATAGGCACAAATATATATATATATATATATATATATATATATATATATATATATATATATATATATATATATATATATATATATATATTTGTGCCTATTTTAAACTATATATATATAGTTCTCCCTGATAAAGGGATGTCACAATTCTATCGGGGCATGGGGGGAGGAGGTTTCGAGCCAAGCTTCATGCCTTAGGGAATAGGGAAAGAAATTAAACCCTTAAATCTTTGTTGTGGTGTTCCGGAAACTACTGAGGGAAACCAGAGTCGACATCATCACAGAGAACAATATTCCCTCAATTAGTAAAAAAGGATAACTACCTGTACTACGAATCTTATGAGTACAGGTGGAAGGAATTAATGAGAGTTCATCATTTCAATCTGCTCCAATCAATCAGAAGAGTGAAGAATCAGAAAATATATCATATCATTTCCTATTATTTGACTATTAATCAATTATTAATAATTAGGTAGAAAATAAATAATAAAATGAAAAAAACATCAACATGGTACACCCTTAATTAGATAGCAGCCCGAGGAGAAACTCATGCTTTTAACTAAAACTAACATTTTTTTTCCCCTTATCCTCTAAGTTTATTTATAGATATTGATAGATAACATCAGGGATAGAAAATAATTCAATTTCATTATTTTTAAAATTAATATTGCAAAAGTTCGAACTCCAGCTCCTTCTGTGAGTGAACTATAGAATATTAATAACATGTTACCATAACTTTATCAATAAAAAAATGATAATATCTTGACCAATTTATAGCTGAAAAACCATATTACTCAGTACTGCAATAAAACTGTCATAAGCCTGATCCATTCCATTTATTATGGTTGTTTTTCAAATATTAAAACAAAAACATCATCTTTGTAAATAATAACCATCATAGTCTAAACAGTAGAGGGCTAAAATCAATATTTAGGTGATTGAACAAGTGAGCCACTAAAAATGAAAGTGGATATGAATAAATTTTGTACAGAATGTTTAGTATATGAGATAAGGTAAAAAAAGGTAAGATTATATTTTATAAAAAATAGGTAAGATAATACTAAAGCATTATTTTTCTAGCTAACTTTAAAATTGTATTTTTTTTTAGTATGTGTACACGTATAATATTGTGTTTTATGTCAGTATCTTGAGGAGTAAAAACTCCTTTTGAGTTTTGAATGTAAGCTTTGCAGCTTCTTTTTGAACCTAATCCAGAGAATCAATGGCAGCGAGATATTGACCCTACGGTCGTAGCTGGAATTCGCTAAGAAAAAAACCTAATTATAATTATTAATCCTGGGTAACACTGGGTCACGACACAATACATTCTGAGTAACTGATCACTATAAATCAGACAATCAAAGGATCAACCTTTTTGCAATGAATTATCCCTTCTTAACTCCAAAATTCAGAAGAAATATATATTTTTTTAATAATCCTTGCCTAGCAACTGTCTGATAGCAGTTTAACCATTGTTTCTTAGTCTTCTGAGTTTCTTCAATTATAATCTTTTCATCATGAGTAACAATTCTTTTAACAAAATAAGTGTCATTAGGGTTTTTCATAAGTTGTTGAAAAATTTCTAGTCGAAATCGTGGTAGCATACAGACCAAGTCATGAGAAACCGCTTGTGTATACCGCAATGAACATTTCCCAAGTTATATGACTCATGATTTGTGGTAGATTGGTGAACTCAAAGCTTTGTACACAATTATACAAGTACTTTCTATTCGCTCTGTCTAAACAGAATCTCATAGATCTTCTTCATTGAATGATAATTTTAATTTTTTCATTTTTCACGACTCACCCCATTACTATATAAAAAAGTAAAGACAAAAATGTGATTTATCAATAATCACTATATTTTATTAATTACTACATACAAATAAATCACAACTATTGTAAGAAAAATATAAAAACACTACGTAACACGTAACTTAGGTGATAATAATTTTCGGGATATTCTAGCAAATCAGAATAGATTTAATACTTTGAGAAGGTCATCGCATCTCAAGGCCTCAGCCTTCCATCACATCAGTTCCAAATGGCTCAATTGTTCACTAGGTCAACCTTTTAGCTATAAAGTCTTAATAAAATAAATAATCGACTCATAAAGACTAGAATTTCATTAAATTGTATTATAGATGGATCAAACTTTACTTAAAAACTGATAAAAAAAACTTCAAGAAGAAATAACATTTTTTAATTAAAAATCATAAAAATGCTGTGTCTTCCTTTATACATAATTAACACAAATATAACTTTGTTAGATTTTTATTTGAGAGAGATGACTGTACTCTGACAAAATAGGAATCAATAACAAAACAGGAAGTGAATAAAAATATTTAAATTAAAAATCTAAAATTGAATGATAATAATAACAGCAATAAAAAATCAACTGAAATAAATAATTGATTTATTTATTTAAGTAAATAAATGTTTTTTATTTACTAATAAATCTATGCAGTTCATAATTTTAAAACAATTGACATATTTAAATAGTTCATTTCTTATTCTTTGATTATACCTGGCTCTCAACAAGCATAGCCATGTCCATAAACATATCATGGAGTTCTCGAATAGAATTTTCTAACTTTATGATATCAGCATGCCTTGCTTCAATATCTGCTAGGGTTTGCTTGGCTTGTTGGGTTTCCATTATGATCTGAAATAGATAAATTTAAAAAAAATAGTTAGTAGAACATCCAAGGATGAAATTACCTTATCTGCAACAAAATCCAAACAATAAACAAAAAAATTAACTATGAAGTAAACCTCTACTGTAAAGATACCAAGAAAGTATATGCGAAGTTAACATAATATTAAGTTCCTTTAAGTTATTTTAAGACATTAACAGATGACCTCAGAAAATGGTCCTTAAATATTGCTGTTAAAATATTGCATACCAAAGAGATTAGAAGTTGCATATATATAATTACTTTAAAAAAACAAAAAAACAATTTAACTATTTTTTTTATTGCGTTTCAGTAAGAGATGGGCAAAATCGGAATTAATAATTACATGATAAAATCTGAAAATAAAACTTCATTTTATACTTCATTCAATAGCACTATAAATATATCGAAAATGTGACACAATTACCTGAAGACAATCGTAAAACACAAAAACTAATACAAAATTAACACAAAATAGTAACACAAAATTAAAATCACTGTAATCGTATCATTGTAATAATTACTGTAATTGTAATTGTTAATTATGATTACGCCCATGAATGGTTTCAGTTTATTTTAAAAAGTCAATATAGGTATATTGGCAAACCTCTAGGATCAGTATGGTGCAAGGTACAAGATCATTTAATTTTGAACATTGAAAATTAAATTTAAAAGGTCATCTATATATTTTAACTGAAAGATTTAATAATCGTCGATTATGGATATTCTAAACTGAATATAAATTAAGGAATTAACACTAAAACTATCAATAAACAATTAATAACAACAATAAAAAAGATAAAACTCACTCCTTGAGTGAAAACAGCTGGGTTCCCTTGTTCCAACATTTCTTCAAGTTCTTCATTAGTTGTAGTTCTGCCCGCTACAAAACCATGGAGTCGTGTTAACATCTATTTTTCAATTTTGTAACAATAATTTCTAATAAAAATGTATTAGTTAGAAGAAATGAAACACTATAGGGCCATTTCATGTCTAATCATTCAGAGTCCAATACCCACTCACTGGAGATTTGAATGAAAATTTGTATATATTATGTAAATACGCAAAAAGAAAAAAATTCCAAATTTTATCCGATTCTATTGAGTAGTTTCAGAGTTATAGTTATTTGAACTTTTGATATTTTTGAAGTTCGGAAAAAATTTGAGCTCGAAATTGGCTTGTTTCTGTTTGAGCTCTCCTACGTAAAATCAATACTTAGTGAGCTGGAGCTTTCAAAATTTATTTTTGTAATCTTTTTAATTTAAAAAAAAAAATCTTTTTCATTACTGATACTTTCATTGAATTACTGAAAGAGCATGAAATTCTTAATAAAATAATATTATAATAATAATAAAATAATATTAGTGGGTTTCGGAGTTTTAAAAGATTAATTACAATTTAAATCCAATACAGTAAAATTTAATTTATAAGTAATATAAACAATATTAGTCAAAATTTCTTTCCAATTACCTTAGTACAACCATATATTACCTAAGAGAGCATAAAATTCTCTATCAATGATAAAATAATAATAGTGGACTTTTCAGTTTTAGGAATTGCATTATAATTTTAAGTTAATAAAGTAAAATTAAATTTACAAATTATGTATAAAAGTAAACATGGTCAAAATCTCTCTTCAGATACTCTACTGAGAAGAGGACTACCTATAACATAATATAAGAGGGATTTTTAGTTTTTAAAATTAAACTAACAAGTATATATATATTTACAGGTAAAGATGCCTCAAATATCTCCCTAGATATCCTAACATTAGTGAGAACAGCACTGAATTGCCTATCAAATGATATAATATTATTGGAGATTGAGAAGGCTTTTGAATCTAAAGAGATTTTTTCCTTCCATTCAATAGGCCACGAAAAAATTGTTGTGCAATGGAATCGGTAGTTAAAAGAATTGTTACAATGAGAAATCTCCAAAATATAAGACAAAGTGAACAGAATGTAAATGGTAGACAAAATTTACGACTATCACAATAACTTTTTTTTTTTTTGTCGAGAATAAAATTTTTCGTTTTGGGTGAAGACTGAAAATAATAGAAAAATTATATCATTAGCATAAATGAAACTATAAGTTTTCATTATTTTCAACTAATGACATCTAAAGAGATAACAGCAAAATGAGCCCATACTCTAATAACTGTTTAAGGAAAAATATTTTTTTATAATAATAGCACCAGCAATAGAACAACAAATTCTTATTATTCCATGAGCTATGTTTTAGGAAACAATAGGTAGATTTAAATGGTTTAGTGTTCAGGTGGGGAACCTTCATCCTTTAAGCTATATGCGGCCTCCGAACGTTTTTGCACGGTCTTTATTAATTTAGCGGTAGAATTAATTCATTTTAATTATTTAGATTGCGAAAAGTTAAAAATCAATAGAATTAAGTTGAATACATTTATATGGGGGTGTATTTACTTATTAATAAAAATAGTAACAGCAAAATATATTATGTGGCTTCCATTATCATTGCCTAATCTAACTGTGCCCTTAAATGATAAAAAGTTTCCCACCAGTGGTCTAGTATATAAAGGAGTAAAAAGGTAATCACTTATTGATCCCTCTAGCCTGACTGAAATTTATAATTATTCATTTATATAATAGGCTACTTTTGAATCTTGATATTAAGTTATAACTTGTAAGGTTTATTTCAATATATCGTTGGAGAAGGAGGAGGGGGGGGGATGATGATGGGCACCCCTGACTGTTATAGTTAATAATATTTTCACTTTCTAATTTTTAAAATACAAATTTAGAGTTTGTGATGGCTCTGCCTGTTGTAGCATTCACGTGCCAAGCGATGTCGGTTCGAATCCAGCCTAGTAGGAATTGACTTTTACTTCATGGCGGACCCACGGAATGGAACTCGACCTTCCCACCCTGGTTAGAATAGGTTTGGTTGTACCTCTAGAACAACCTTCAACCCACCCCCATATGCCAGAAATGGTGGGAATGTGGTAATCTAACAAAAAAATACAAATTTGTTTATCTAAAACATAATGTTGCATCAACAAGCAATAAGCAATATTGCGTTACATTGTAATAAAACTCTTAAAATTTAAAAATCCACAAATATTTTATAATTTGATAAAGAAATTCATGTTCTATTTTTAGTAATGTATGGTTGTACTAGAGTATTTGGAGAGAGATTTTGACAATGTTTACTAATATATATAACTTGTAAATTTTATTTTACAGTTTAAATTTAAACTGTAATAAAACTCTTCCAACTCCAAAGTCCACTAATATGATTTTTATCATCCAATATCGAATCATATGCTGTTTTCAGTAATATATAGATTTGGAGAGAGATTTCAATTACAGATATTTTTCAATGACAGTATCAAAACTAAAAAACACATTAATTTTATGTTTAAGCTTTATTTTATCCATGATGAAAAATCACAATGCTAATAATTATGGTATTATAAATCTGCATCAAACATAGGATAAGCGATTATATTTTGAAAACTCCAATATAAAAAGTATTGATTTTATATAAAAAAGCCCCAACACATACAATCTGGTTTCAAGTTCAAATTGTTTCACAACCTTCAGAAGTTTAATTGACCATAACTCTGAAACTACTCATTAGAATTAGGTAAACGTTGGCGTTTTTCTTATTTCTGTTCTTGCTTAATATATATAAATTTTCATTAAAATCTGTGAGGATGAGTGTCAAATTGAACATTGCTTGAATGATTTGACATAGAATGGGAACCTATAGCATTAGTTAATAACAAATAACATATATCAGTTTTTATGTTTTTTATGTTTTATATATGTTTTTATAACATATATAACCAATTTAAACAATATCAGAGCTTACAGACCTAATTCATTTTGATAATATAAAGTCAGTAAGGTTTGTTTTTCTGTTTCTTATTAATATTAGCAAAAAAAAAAAAAAAATAGAAACTGGTTTTAATCAATGCTAAAAAAAAGAAAATAAAATAAATAAAAATGGCATGATAAATGCTTTAGTTTAATTATATTTTATGAAAACATTGTAAACAATAATTTTTTTTATAGATTTAGCATTAAATTTGTTTAGTACAAAACTTAATTTTTGATAAAATATTTGTATAGAATTGATAGATTGTCAAATTTAAAGGTTCATCAAAATTTATAGCTTATATTACAAAAAATATTCTTACTAATCTCCAACTGCCTTTGTATCCTGCCCTTACACCGCTCCCTATAATCAGTCTGGGTCCGATTATATTCGGTCATCACCTCGACAAACTTTCTTGAAAGTGTTGAATGCTGAGTTTTTCTTATCCTTAGGTCTGCTGAGGACTTGTTGGTGTGCTCCTCTTGCTCTATGTTTTGTTCAATCACTGTAAAACATTATTAAATAAATGAATAAGCTGTTAGGAGGAAGTAAAGTTTATTGACTCCAAAGAATGTTAGAAAATATTTCAAGGATATCTCCACATACAAAGGGTAAATGTTGTAGAAAGAGGAAACCTATATATGGATCTGTACTGCCAAGAATAGAATACAAACTTGAATAAATTTAAAACAAATTATCAAACAATAATTCCAAGAATTTCTCCTAAGAAAAGTAAGATATTCTAATGATGATTCGCACATTAAGCATGTATGCATAAAAAATTAATACATACCCTGAGGTATAGATTTTTAAAATTGTAACTGTACAGATATTACTATTATATAAACATAATAAAAAATCCATAGAATTGAAAAAGTGAAGATACCAGATTGAGACTTCATTACTATTAGTTCATTAAATCAGATATAATTCAATTTCTGCATAGAGGCATTGGTTATAAGAAGGACTAGAAATATTTTTTAGAACTGGAGAGTAGATGATTAGTCATTCAAGTTTAATTAAGTCTAAATATATTAATACTATGTTTTCCACAGTAATTTATTTTTCTATTTTATTTTCACATACTCTCCTTATTCATTAATAAATCATAAATAAAAGAAAAAATTAAATCTTTTCGGTGATGGTGAAGTAGTAAAACCAAAGATAATTAAAATTAATTTTGGAAAAAAGCACATTTTACGAACAAAGCTTAATGATCAACCATCAATCATACTTGTGTTTTGTGACATCCAAATTGAGAACATTAGCATCCTATCATATTCATAACATTTTCTCTCTATAATCCCTAATATTTAATTTATGAATATGACAAACTTAATTTTTGTTTTATTTATTATTATAAATTTAGAAGTAGATTTGTCGACCTCTTTAGCAGGAGTACGTATACTATAAATATAATGTTTTAATAATATTCATGATATTATATATATTGAGTATGATGAAAATTGCACCATCAAAAAATATTTGTCTACTTAAACCACAGTCTACTTAAACCACAACAATTACAGTCTTGAGGCTTTACACACAAAGATATTTTTATGTATAAACATTTTTAATTACAGTAGTCTGTTCTTTGATCTGAAATTTCCTCCAAATTGAGACTTCACAAACAAATTGATTGTTGGCAAAAAAAACTCTATTTGTTCTTACTTACTTATAGATATTTTTATATATAAAAATATCTTTGTGTGTAAAGCCTTTAAACGAATTTTTTTTTTTTTTTCAAAAAGTCTTATTTGTGATTGTGTTTGTTTCTTTTGAAGTTCAACAAGCTCCTGGTCTCGATTTCCCTCTTAAACACTTAAGCAGTGAAAAGTTCACTCAATATTTTTATATTCCACCTTAAATTAGTTTTATTTTGATAGATGGAAATTTTGGTTTCGTTGACACCGAACAAATGAAAAATTGAATTTTTTCAATGGATTTTTGTTTCATACATTTAACAAGTGCAAACAAACATACCTATAAAGTATATATGATGTTATTCGTGTACATACATACTGTACTGGAAATTTCTTTTATCATGAATAGAGACCGGATTTCCATGTTTTGCACTTTTTATTCGCTTGCGTATAAAAACTTCGGACCCCAACATCTATCCGTTTCAGAACCTGTAGAATAACATATTTAAATTTTATATTGTACGAAATTGCACATTTTGCAGTGTTTGGCTTAAATTGCACGATTCTGATTTTTGTTGCATTAAATAGCACATTTTTGCACTTTTGTACAATAGAAGACGATCTATAAATACAAATGTAGTGAGTGTGTTAATTTTTATTTTACTATATTGTTCGAATTAAATTCATTATTCAAAATAGAAAAATATGAAGAAGGCTAGTAATTCTGTGTGAAGCAAAAATCGTATTCATTACAAAAGGAGGAAGTAAACACAAGTGAGATCTATTCTTGGAGTAGAACTTGCCTTAGGTATTGTATAATAAAAAGCTGCTCTCCTATAATTAGCTGCTTTGTTAGGAAGGCATTTGTAGTTACTGTTTTGACTTGAATCCTCATTCACCATTCAAACCTTCCGTATCACTTCTGAATTTGTAGAAATTTCATTCTTATTAAATATATATATATATATATATATATTATATATATATATATATATATATATATATATATATATTGCTGAAAGTAAAATCTAGTCTCCCGTCAAAAATTAAAATGTGGATATAAAAATACCCTGATTTGAAATGTGAGGACAAAGAATTTGATGAGAAAGGTCTAGGTCTATACACCTTATAAATCAATCAGGTGATAGGAAATCACTGAAAGACGCTCATTGGGGAACAAGTAAGAAAAAAATATTCTTATCACAGAATTGAATTTTTTTTTTTTTTGTTTTTTAGAAAGCATGTAATCCCCCAAAATATTTTTTTAGTGGTATAGCTTAACAGCTTAACACTAATTTTTGAACACTTGAAAATCTCAAACATTACAGTCTATTTCAATTTGTTTTTCAAAATTCTTTAAATTTTAACAAAAACGTTTGGGAATGTATAATATTGGAAACTTCAACTCTATTAAAAAATAAAGTTTTCATTATTATTTTTAATAAAAGTTATGTATCTAAAATTGGTCTGATATATGTAATATATACATAGGCACCTATAATTCTTGCCTTCATTTATTCTTTCAAATCTTCAATGTTCTGCATTATTTGATAATAATAGTTGATTATAACCTGAAATTTCATTGTCAATGTTACATTTCAATTTTTTTTTTTTTAATCTCTGGGTTAACTCAAGATCTGATAAGATTTCGATGTATTAATGTTATAAATTAAGCAATATTGATGATTTTACACATTTTTAGGTGTTAATTAAACAATTTTATGTATTTTGGATTTATACTGCACGATTTTGCTCATTTTGATTTTTTTTTTATTGCACGTTTAACGGATTTTTAATGCACGAAAATCCGGTGACTAGTCATGAATAATAAAATACGCAATTTACAAATGTCAAACTCTTCCGTATGTTTGTACTCGCTGATACAAAAAACTAAACTAGTGAATGTTGAGAGTTTACTGTATTTTCTTAGATTTTATTCTCAAAAGAAAGATTACAAACTTTAAAATATAAATAATTGTGTATCCAAAGAAAATGATGAGGAAACTATACTGGCCTTACCTGGCAGACATTTTTTTAAAAATATCACAAGCAATTGTAAAGACCCATTTCTAATTTAAATAATAATATAGATAAAAATCGCATTTAATTTAAATTACCTTTCAGTTTGGCACGGACTTTATTAGCGGCTCTCTTGATATCAGCCATCAGGTCCTCCAGCTCCTGCTTCACCTCTGAAAAGGACACAACCGAATTAATATTAATAAAATTAAAATATAAATAAATTACAAATATATATTATAAACAATTGTTTATGAACAAATTTATCTATAAACGATTAAATATTGTTGATCGAGGGGCGCAGTGTTTCGAAAAAATCATATGTAGATAGATTGTTTGTGAATAAAATTGTTTGTAAATAAAAATAATGAAAATTAGCATGGTAATAGAAACGAGCGCTTATCAATATTAATGTAATAAAAGAAGATGTACTAGGTTTGTGCTGCAAACCGAATGAACTGTTCTTAAATTTGTAGTTATATCGTAGATTTATTGCAAAAAGTCGTTGAGTGACATTCCATAACCTCAAATAATTAAGAACTTTTATGATTTTTTTTACTGAGTGTATATGATAAATAAAAGGGTGAATGTCATTTTCCTGCATTTGTAGGGTTTTTTTATTGAGAGCTAAAATTGAAATTCACAAAAACATATTTGAAAGTTAACCAATATCAAAAATGAACTTAGTGACATTTTTAAATAAACGGACGATATTAATGAAATAATAAACAACAAATTAATAAGAGCTGAACCCACGGGTAAAATTTCGTTGGGTCTACCGAAATGTAAACAGAGAATTGTGTTAAGTCGACCTTTTGGGTACTGATTTTGTTATTTGGATGGAGGCACAGGCGAGTCTATGGAGGGAGGGAAGGGAGAGAGGGAAATCCCGGCTGAAGCTCCCCAAAATGATAAAATGTAACCATGTTTTATGGAAAAAAAACTATCTCTTAAAGTATTATTATTCGACTAATTATATTTAATAGGACTTCAAAAATCACTTAAACACTATTTCATATAGATAATTGGTTTATTGTTTTCCAAAGTAATAATTATTATTATATATATGAAAAATAAAGCTTTCGGGCTGAAGCCCCCCAAAAAATTAAATCCTGGATCCGTTAGTGGAAGGAGGTATGCAAGGATATTTCTGATGTAACCCACATCTAATCTTCGCGTTAGTTAGATTAGTCTTATAATAATTTCAATTATTCTATCCACTTTAACAGTCAAAGGCACAACTCATTTTTTGTTTTATTTATAATGAATTTATTTTATTTACTCTTTTATCTCGCTATTTCGGTTATATGGATTTTTTCCTGGGCCAGCAGAGAGAGCGGGGCATTAATGCCTGAGTTAAATGCCTCTGGGACCGAGGCTCGAACTCGTAATTTTCAGATTATCAGATACGTTTTAGGTTCAGGCAGGTTATCAGGAAACACGTGAATTGAAAATGTAAGATCGCTCGGCCACCCACAACCCAATGAAATTATTTTGAAAAAAAAAAATGACTTATTTTACTGTTTGGTAACTCATATTGAAGCCATTACAAGAAGAAGATTTTAAGGAGCGGGATAGCTCACCAAATGTTTCTTCTACGGAGAATTCATTTATACATGGTACATAGCCGTGGATCGACCTTGTATCGGGATCTGATACACCGTCAGCCTCGATAGTGAGAAGGTATAAACTAATCAGAAAAAGATGGGGTTTGCTAGTCTCCTTGCACAACGGCTCGAGACATTTCTTCCTTAAGCCTAGTCCACGCTAGTAGACATGCTGCGCGATTTTTTTCTATGACACATTTCTCAGTTTGTCTACGTAGACATGTCTACAGACAAATCCCCGTCCACAGGCCTGTTGCGAGACCAAAAATCGCAGGTCTAAAATCTCCCGACCGGTATGAGAGAAATTCTGCAAGGTTAGACATGTTGCGCAACATTTAGACAGTAGGAGGTCCCTCTGTGTCTAGAGGCGAGACGCCCCCTAGTGGGAGGTTATCGAAAACTAGATAATCTGGAATATATTGTCATCGATAGAAATATCAGCCTATAAGTATTAATACTATCAAAATATAGGACTTGAAATGTCGATATTATCGAGAGATATTTTCAGAGATATAAAATTTGTTGAATAACCAGTAATTTTGAAATATGATCATTTCATATTGATTCTAAGATAAAACTTAATTCTCTATCAAATAGGCTTATAGTTGTTTTGTTTTTTCTGTCTTCCCCTTATTACCCCAACAAGGGGTTTTCCCGAGCCAGAGAGTGAGGAAGGAGTATTTATGCCAGAGTTAAAAGCTCCCCGCCACTGGAATGCGAACTCGTAATTATTTTATCCGAAATTCTTCCCACGCGTTAGCCTATTCGGTTACTGCGCCTTCAAAAATAGGCTCATCAAAAAATATATTATTTTTCTCTTTAAATTAATTGATGGAAATATCAATTCTTCTACACTCCTTAATAAAATTAATTTCCTGGTTCCTGCCCATCTTCACTACCTCCAGCTCTTTTCCATAAATTTCTATTCAAAAAATTATAAATTCCATTCACCAATAATCTATATGCTATGCTACACAAGATTTTTTTTCTAACAATCAGATTCATATGGAAACACTAGAGATTTTCGAAAACTATTGTTTTAATTATTATTTTAAAATTAATACATTAAAATTTCGTAGGGACAATATCGATAGTCGAGAATATAGAAATACGATCATAAAATATCGGAAGGAAAATATCGATATTTCGATATTATCGACTATCGATGGCCACCCTTAACACGTCCCATGCGTCTTATGGTTGGTGGGATGAATGAGTCCCGAATACAAAAACCGTGTATAAAGAAAAGTAGATCTGGAATCTCGGGCTGCAAAGCACAATGTGGCAGTGGCGGGGGGTAGAAATGAAAATCCATAATTTAAAAACTTCATTCAACCTAGAGTGGTAAAAATATACTTCAACGAGTGGTTTCAACGCTCTTTCACTTGTAATGAGCACTGAACAGCAACTCATGCCACACAAAACAATTCCCTCTATGGGGGTTTGCTAAGATGAGACTGAGAAATTCACATTGTAGCGTGGACGCTAGACGAGACAAATAACGGTGCCCCTAGACGGCCTATAGACAAATCGCGCAACATTGTTTACTAGTATGTACTAGGCTTTACAATGTTCTGAATCCAATATCGATTATTGGCTGTATAGGTACAAGCTTTTTATATGTATGTATATATATATATATATTTCTTATATGAACATTGACTAAATTCAAGAATAGCGATAATGATATATATATATATATATATATATATATATATATATATATATATATATATATATATAATAAAATATAAATAGATTATTATGTCCCAATATGGAAGGGATGGCAACTACAATATGTTCAAGATTTTTTTATTCAATTACAAGTGTTTATTTTTCTTTTGAACTAATCAATAATAAATAGAAGTTTTATTTAATAACTGGATATTGTAGAATAAACAGCAGGTGTTGATTAATAAATGTTGATTAATAAACCAAGAATATTGTAAAAGGTATCTTGGAGGAAGAACTCATTATACGGCCTTTGGTATTATAATCTTTCCAAGTTGGGTACCTGGAGGAGTTGGCACAAAGCCCTCATCCTCTCAAGAACAATGGGCCTCGGGAATCAGAAGGTTAAAAGACCATTCGATAAAAGATAGCCGAAAAGAAAATTCACTCACCCTATTTATTCCGTTCCAAGAGGGGTAGCTTTGAATTAGGTTTAATAATGGAGGGGAGTGCCAGGAGTACCTTTCACGATATTCAAGATTTTTTAGGTTATATAAAGTTAAAATATCCGATCATAATACTGATTTGATTAGTAGTCTCTCAATATTATTTGAGTAAATTATACAATATTCAGAAGAAACGTGTAAATTGCAGACAGGCCTTTCTTAATTACTTTAAAAAATAACAATTAGTAATTCCTATATGGATAATAAACAATTAAAAGGTGGCAATATTGTATTAAACTTGGACAAGCTCTATTAAACTTGAAAACGAGTAATTTATTATAACTTATGGTCTTACAGCTGGCCAAGAGGAAAAACAAGTCGAAATATACCATGCCACAGAAACACCGTGAACCCTCTTATTAATAAAAACCCACTCAGGTTAATAAAAAAATAAACGAACGAATAAGAGTAAAATTTGTTCATCAATTAGCACGGCGCTAATTTATTCCAGAAAAATCTCAGAAATATTTTCATATATGACCAGAACAATTTTGTATTATTTGTATTGATTTTCTCAGGAATTGAATAAAGTAGAAAATTAATGAATAGTAAACAAATGTACTAATTACTAATTTTCATTAATTCGATTTTTGTAGTTGAGTAATATTTTGTAATATACAACAGTTATTTTAAAACGATCATCCATAAGTACTTAACAGGTGCAGGGAATTTATAAATAATTTAAGTGCTACAATTGATTTATAATTTACAATTACACATTTTTTTTTTTGTGTAAGTGTATAGTAATCCGAAGTTAGTCAAGCTACTATTTAACCTTTTTTTTTTTAAACTGTTTAACACGTACTATTTAATTCTTTTCTGAATACACCTGTGAGTCTCTATTTTTATTCTTTTAATTTTATTTACTAATTTTGTATTCTTGTTTTTCTTCTTTATTTTTTCTTTTCTTTCTCCATATCCCATCTTTATGTCCATTATTTCATGTAATATTCTTTTCTCTTTTTTTCCAGTCTCTCCGGTAGATCTGTAGGAGTATATTCACAATTGCATATATTATATTATATATTATACAACAGCAATTGTTACCACCTATTTACTTCAGTTTAGGATCTTGTTACTTAGCTTACTATGTTTATATAGCTTAATGTTCTTAATATTTCAATGTACTTACTGTTTATAAATTCGATAAGTTTGTTCATATTTTATTTTCATGTTTGTTCATGTTTATAATTTTTATCTAAATATCATGTAACTTCCATAATTATCCAAATATCTTTTTGTATCTTGTCCGTTCTAGCCGCGAAGAAGACCTGCAAAGTCGGGTCGAAACGTTGGCTTTTAATAAAATAGTAACTATTAAGTCTATTTATGACCGCCACCCCGGACCATCTCCTCTTTCTTTTTAATTTGTTAATTTTTTATTTCACT